TTTGATTACAAACTGTGCGCCAATCCACAGATAATGAAATCTGAGAATGCTGGTTTTAAAAATCTCCAACTTCATAGGGGAAGACCTATTATAATGACTTAACTTTAACCAATATCTGTCAATAAAATATTTCCAACATTTGACGTCTAACACCCCACGCTTTTTTACGATCCTGTAGTATAGTCTTATACACATGTTTAGGATAATCATATTTCAAGTATCTGATCTAATTTACCAACAATACTATACTTAATTTATCTAACAGCAGAAAATTATTGTAGTACAATACAGCTTAAACGAAAATGTGATGTAACATTTCACACGCTTTAATCATTTTACGTAATTTAATTGCGAATAGTAATTAATGTTTATCGTTCAAGTGTCAGCAGTAAAACACTTATAAACGCTTTTCAAATTAATTATACCGGTAATTAATTAATCATAAACAATATATTACACCGATGGTAAACTTTCTCAGTTTATGTTCTGTTCATTACTAAGGGGTGGGTAGATACGTATGTTAAAATAATAGCATTTGTGTTTTGATATTTAACATATCATATTTTAATATGTGTGTATGTATTAAATTAAATAGTGTGACAGTTGCTTTCGTGAACTAAAAATCTGTGTGGTGACTATTCCTGGATAGATTGGTTATTTGCATAACTACCTGATAGTTATGCAAATAATCAAATCTTCAAATGACACCAGAGCGGTCATTACTCGATCTAAATGATAGATGCCACTGAGCAAAATGTGCAGGGCGGTCACATACTTTGGAAACTTACGGTCACTCATAGTCTTAGCAGAATATCAGCGGTGCCTGCCGTAGGATACACACATAAACACGTACTTATATTATAAATGTGAAAGTGAGTTTGTTTGTTTGGTACGCGTTCACGCCTAAACCACTTAACCTATTTTAAAGATTCTTCCACCAATAGAAAGCTACATTATCAGCGAATAGCATAGGGTACTCTTTGCCGTGATAACCGACATACACGTAACGCAGCAGGGCCGAGGTAAAGAGCTAGTATAAAATATACATATTTGTACCGGCAATATATATAAAACACTCCGCTCCAGTGTGTGTCCGTTAGAAAATGAACGTTTTGTTTCTGTCTTTCTTTAAACTAATTTTATGACTGTGGCCACTTGATGAATATTGTATTTCAAATCAAACATGATAGAGATAAATGCTAACAGTTAGAACAGAATTCTAATATACGGCCTTTACGGATTAACGGTTGCGGCTGGTCATTCTATTATACCATTAATATTCTATAAATAGTATCTATCCTAATCATTGCTACTATGTGAGATAAATCTCGTCTGATTATGGGCTGTATTAACGAGTTAATCGGTTCACTATTTTGATGAACGCGTGACATTCGACTAACGCCAGCAATTATCAGGCGTTGGACATATTAGTAATGACGAGGTAGGTACACCTTCATTAATATATTAAAACTAGCTGACCCAAACAAACATACATACAACAATAATATATATGGCAAACGTTGTTTTGCCATATATACATTATTGTTGTATATATTTTTCAATGCTAAATCATAATAAAATAAAAAACAATGTTTTGTCAAAAAAACAAAAACAAATTAGGGATGGGTCACCCTTATCATTTAGGGGTATGAAAAATAGATGTTGGCCAATTCTCAGACCTACCAGATAAGTACACAAAATTTCATAAAAATCAGTCCAGTCGTTTCGGAGGAGTTTCGTAACAAACACCGCGACACGAGAATTTTATATGTTAGGGATAACCTTTTTCAGATATCTATATTAATAGTCAAATGTCTCCTGACAGTAAACTATTAAAAGTGTGCCGTTAAACAAAGACCTCTTTTATGGTATTGGTATTTCTAATATAGAGTAGCTCTTAAGTGTAAAATCTTCAGTCTCCAATGTGCTTACAAATAAATAACCGAATGAGTTATAAGCTTTAGTTATATTGCTGTGTATGTCAATTTGGATATTTAATTTGAACTGCCAGCTATGGAATTTTCGGACACAGATGTTTAAAAATACCATTCTTATTATCTACAATACTTGCAGCTTGGCAGCTTGTTAAGCCATGTTTAAAGTTGCACGTATAGTAGCCATACATAGTTTATTATAGGTAATACGTTAATAGCCTTGATTATGATATTTTAAAATAATAATGTTTATTTATTTGAGCAATATAATATTTTACAGTTTAGGACATTTTTATTTAAAATATATTTTAAACAGTAGTTTCATTAATCCGTAACACTAGTAAAAACTAAGGTAAAATTTTATTTATATAGATTTTTTTTACACATGAAGATATGTAAAACAATTTAGTTCAAAATCTTTAATCGCTGCCTCCCTGAACTAGGATAAACGTGTGTTTCAGGCAATCGCTTGACTTGAGTTTTAAACAAAATTTATTTAGATATTAATGTAAAACGATAATAAAAGAATAATAAAAAAGATAAAAATACTACATAGTGTACACGTGCAAAAGTAAATCACAAACATATGTAATAACAATTTCTAACCTATTTTACACTTCCGCATAATTTAAGTTTATTATTTAAGCTGGATATATTTAGTACCTTATTAATTTTATGAAGTATAAAAAAGGTCTTAAGAATAAATAAAATCTTAACTAACACTGCAATTATTTTTGATTATTAGTTATATTGAGTTATTGGTGCCAGTAAATTGTCAGTAGTCGCTACATATGCTCTTAGACGTCACAATATTTCACTTCAGAGACATTAAATGATCTAGGTGACAGAGCTACTGATTAGTCATTACATAATCAATATAAATAGGTTTAAGTGCCTTAGACCTCATAGTCTATAGAATTTAAATATTTATCCTCAGCATATTTCCGTGCTGTGGCAAGTTGCATCACCAGTTTTCCGTTTGAACCTTTTGCACGTCGCACAAAATGGTGGTGTAGATTTGTTGTTACAATCCTTAAAAGAGTGCCCGAACTCTCCACAGTGATTACAGGTTGGGCTAGTTTCACGGTAATATTTAGCTGCATGTCCAAACTGCTGGCAGTTAAAGGACCTAGTCACCAACGTAAAGTCTCTAACAGGACAAGAAGTCCAGTTTATGTGAATTCTGCCTTCATTTATGAGCGCTTTTCTAATATGAGGCGGTACTTCAAGAATATAGTTACAGGTAGGAAAACTTTTTTTACCTGACTAGTGGCTAAGTTTGATGGTATTCAGACAGAACTCACGAGAAGCGCCAGGAAACTTATCTGTTAAATTCTGTTCATAGATGCATTCAAGCACCTCCTTTTCAGTCAGGGCGACGGGTACACATACGACAGTAATTATTGTATTGCGTTTTGTAGGTTCTTCGACATTAACGCCTGATGACGCTAATTTCTTCGACTGCCTCAATTTCTTAATATCTAATTTAGATTCGGCACTAATAATAACACCCCCATTCCTCACTTTAGTAAGGCCTCTAACATGAAGGTTTAGTTCCTCAGGTGAAATTGTTTTTTGGACCAGAGACATCACTAGTCTTGGTCTCGTCGCTAGGATAGATGGCAAGGGTACTAATATTGATCGAACGAACAAACTTATCTGCACTTTTTTTAACATATCGCTTATAAAATAGCTTCGAACATGTCCAGTTTTCCATGTAGAATGTTATTTCGTTTATTTATAGTGATGTTGATATATATGTTGGTAATAGCGAGAAAAACGAAAATTTTGGTAATATTACTGGACATTTACAATTACTCCTCATTTTATAGGAAGTTTTGATTGGGATACAGATGATGCTAATAATAATAATAATATATATCACACATCTCACACACGGCCGTCTGATCCCAAACTAGGCAGAGCCTGTACTATGGTGACCAGACTGCTGATAAACATACTTATATATTTTAAATACATACATATTATAGATAAATTACACCCAGACACAGAACAAATGACCGTGCTCATCACACAGTATTTGTCCTGGGTGGGAATCGAACCCACGACCTCTGGTTTAGCAGTCAGGGCCACTAACCAAAAAAGACCAACAGGCCTGTCAATGGCTGATTTCAATCACAGAAGAGTTACTATGTTCCGACTCATTTTTGTGTTATACTTCTCTAACATAAGTCTTTCAACCAGGTTAGGTCATCTTACCTGCTGGTTTCTGGGTCAATAGTTGATGGTAAGATTTATTCTTCAGCAGTTCTACTTATTTTGCCCAGATAATGATGGATACATTTTGCTTGCGCTACGTACAGCTCACCGTTTATTTAGTGATCAGTTCAATTTTGGTATAAATAAAAAAAGGATCAAGCGAAACCGTTAAATGCTTCTTGTTTTATTCTAAGCAGTTATTTTATTGCTTTCATTTTTCATAAATAACAACCCAACGGTACTAATTAAGGGCTCTATTACAGCTTTTCTCTTGTTAACGCATAAAATATTAAAGGTCGAAAGTTTTTTCTTACAAAACAAGTTAATCGTTAATGAACCTTAATTAACGTTTGCTTATATATTTTTACTTTGGCTTAGATAGTAGTCGAAGTGAAACTTGTAAACACAATTTTTCAGTTTTTTGTTATAATATATTAAGCCGACCCCAACCTAGTTTGGGAAAAAGGAGGAAGGAAGGAAAATTAAACGTTAAAATATTTAGAAAAATAACCGATATTTAAACTTTGTTAGTTTAACAACATAATGTCTTTCAGGACAAAATATTTGTTGAAAAATGTTTGCAAATATGTATATTACGCAGGGGCTGGTAATTGTTGGTACGAAGACGTGTACTCCGAGAGCATACTTTATCAGTTCTATAGTATTATAACTTTTACCATCTATACGACCATGATTTTTCTTGAGAATCTTGCGGCTTTATTTGGAAATTTTCCTGAAGTAGAAAAAAATTCAGCAGTCATGTTTGCAGCAATACACAATATCGTTCTCACAAAGATGTACCTTTTATTGTATCATAAAAAGTCTATAAGGAAATTAAACTACGAGATGGCTACAGTCGGGGAGGGTTTTGAAGAGGAATACGTGATGAGGAAGCAATATAACAAAGCAAAAGTCGGTATATCTCTGTACGTAATATCAGTTTACTTGTCACTTATTGCTTATGGGGTGGAAAGCGCCCGACGAGCGATAGCGGAAGGTTAGTTATTGCTTTTATTTGTGTGGTTTTATTTTGTAGAATTTTTTAGGAGATCCTTATGGGTCATTGTAACAATATTTCTCTCTTATACATACAGGGTAAATTAATCGTATAGCGATTTACAGCCCAATTGTTTGTTTAAATTTGTTTGTATGATTATAGAGCAGGCTTAGAGGAAGAATTTCTTATCTGAACCTGTTCAATGGCTATTATCAAGTTTGAAAAAAATCAAAACTGTGCGTTACTGTACCGTGCCGTATATTTTATTCGTACAAGTTCAGTCTAAGGATACTATTTTGAGTAGTGTACCTTATGCCTTTCTCATTAAGCAGCTTAATTACTTATTGTCATGGCTCGCAGCTATAAAGTTGATTTCAGCACCACTGGGTTTCTTTTAATATTTTACTCGTAATTCTTAATTACACGACATGAAATAATACGTTATGTCATATAGGATTTAAATTAGCATTAGCAGCGTACATTTTATTACCATACGATATTGTTACAGTCCTGTTTCTATTGTTATAATCCTTTCCTTAAAATCATGTTAGTTAGAAAAATATAAGTTCTTTGCTATGCTATCAAGTTGAAAAGATTGCGAAATAAAATATTGTGTGCACCGTACAGCGTTGTCCAAAAAGGGTCCATTGTCATTCAGGAATTTAGCGTCTTTTATAGTCTAATCTTACCATCAACTATAAACATCCATTTTTTATATTATTTTTTACAGGAGCCCCTTTTTATACTGTAATCACATATTTGCCAGTTTACGAGGACGATTCGATTGCCGCATTCATTTTTCGGGTATTTTTTTACATTACGTGGTTGTACATGATGCTCCCTATGATGTCAGCTGATTGTATGCCGATCACGCATTTAATCACCATGACTTTCAAGTTTATCACTCTTTGCCATCATTATAAAGGTATAAGAAAAGATTTCGAGAAGGATTTGCTGACGATGAATAAAACTGAAGCAATGGAGAAATTAAAATCAAAGTGTTTAGAGGGCATACAAATGCATCAAAAGCTTCTTTAGTAAGTGCTTTTAAATACTTTAATACGAAAAGTACCATTAACTTTACTCGTTATATATATAAATATATAGATAGGTAAATATTGTTGTGTCATCAATCATCATATTGTTGTGTGATGATTACAATTTAAGGATTATGAGTTTTAGTTATTTTAAAACATAATTTGGTCAATACAAAGTTATGGTTGGTCATATTACTCCTTTGGCAAAGTTTTCTTGAAAAAGCTGTTACTGATATAAAATGTAATGTAATGTTCATAACTAAATTGTCAAGGTACCGGACAACAAGGTAACATTTATGTATACAAGTATAATGCTATGTTCTTTTTTTAGTTTAGCTGACGAGATATATCGTGTTTTCGGAATAATAATGTCACTTCAAGTTTGTGAAAGTTCTGCTGTTGCCGTTTTGCTTTTGCTGCGTTTGGCGGTATGTAAAACAACTTTGAATTGCTTCTTTTCACGAGACTCTCTTAGTCAATTTTTTTAATCCCAAGAATAACATAAAGTACTTAGAAAAGATAATTAGCTATTTAAAAATAAGGATTGCTATCCTCTTATACTTTAAGTTGTGTTAAATAAATTCGTTGAAAAACCTGCCAAGAAATTTTTGAAGTTTTCTAAAAAAAGCCTGCGGTTCCTCAAACGCATATTTAAATATAAAGACATTATTAATATAACAAGCCTGTTCGTAATGGTTTATAGTGTTATTTAATGTTTTTGATGTTCTAGCTTTCTCCACACCTGGATCTAACAAACGCGTTTATGACGTATACGTTTGTTGGGTCTTTGTTTCTATTACTGGCCTTGAATTTGTGGAATGCAGGCGAGGTTACTTATCAGGTAAGTATTTACATAGATAATTTTGACTGCACGGATGGTGTAGAGGTTTAAGCGGGCACCTCGCCACTTCCTACTGCGCTGAGTGTTGTGGGTGACACATGAGACAACACTTTATGTTATCCACAAATTGTTGTTCTAAGTCTGGGTGTTCTTTGTGTCCGTGTCATGAATGTTTGTAAAGTTCCCCGCGACACATTGTTTATTACTAGAGCAATCGTTAGCAGTCATTATATTAACATTTTATTAAAATAACTTCACACTTAATCATCATATTAAGGCAAAAATCTGCATATAAAGCAGTGTTTCCTCTACTTCCAAGTTTTATTGAAAAGCATGGATATTAAACAAAGGTAAATCTTGCATAGGTACTAAATGAATTAGAAACAGCAAACGTGCAAAACTTTGATCATAACGTGGTATGGACTTAGGTCATCAGTGACGTCTTCTATGGAGTTCAGCTAACTCATACTCGAGGAGAATCTCATAGGTCTGATACCTAGGTCTAACAAATTCTCTTCTCAATTTCATCACCGTTAAAATCATTAAAATGTCATTATAATCAATTTTGTCATGTCATTTTAACGATATTATACATATTAGTCACTTGACTTGACAATCGAAATTCAATAGTAATTATTGGAAATAAGACAAAAACCCATACAGTTTGCTACATTGCTCTCATAAATAGGCGGAGCCCGATTTCGATAGTATTCCTTTGTCTAAACATTCTCTTACTGCATATTTTGACTAAACATGCCAAGATTAATATGTAGTTGGTTATCTGCTTTTATTAGGGCAGGTATTACTTTAAAATTAATTTGTTTTCTGAATTGTGCAAATATCTTGAAGTTAAAGTTTTTGTTTTTTTTTATTTTATCTATGATAGCTATATATTTTTTCATGTAAGGACACAGTACTTTAAATGACTCTATTACTTTTTGTCCAAGTCCAATGTTTATGAATTTGAACGAAACAACATTCCACCAATTCAAATCCTCCTGAAAAGCATTAATTTACATTAAAATTGCATGTTCTCGGATGCAAATATAGTACACAAATAATAAGTAATAAGTAAAGTATAACTGGTTAAAAGTTAGAAGATGCATACTAAATTTATATGTCGGTATTAGTGATGTACCGTATCAGCATTTTAAAATAAAGGTCTGCAGTTATCTGTGTCCGTATTACTTATTCTTTGGAGGATCTTGAATAGAAACTGTTATTAGTATTCTGCGGGTAATATAGCATCTTAAGCTGTTCAACTTGTTTATGCTAAATGGAAATCCCTATTTCGTATTACTACTTTAATATTAAGGAGATTCAAATTCTATAACTATCGGAGATATTTTTTTTGTGTTTAGGCGTCATTGCTCTCCAATGCGGTATTTGACTGCGGTTGGCACCTCTGTCCAATGGAGAAGCCATTCCATCGCGACATCCGCCGACTCGTCCTCATTAGCTGTGCACAAGCACAAAAGCCACTCATACTTAAAGCATTCGGTATTCAAGACCTTTCGTATGAGACTTTTGTATCCGTAAGTATAGAATTATAGTTTTAGCAATTATTATCATATTTGTTTAGAAAAAAAACTCGGTAAACAAACTTAGATTAATTTTGTTGACAAGTATCAAGAAAAAATTCGCAACTGTTAATGACTTATTTGTATAATTTTGATGAGTCCAAAATATATTATTTCTTCCTGGTTAAAGAAACTATGTACATTAAATAAATTAAAATTCTCAAACCTTGAAGGTTTATTATTACCTATTAAGTGCAACCATCTTCATTGGAACGATTTTTAGTAAAACTGTATTACTGTAGTAATTAATTTTATTAGAAAATTGTTCACCTAATATTAAAAATAAGGAAGAAGAAGAAATGAAAAATGAAATTAAATCGATCAATCGTTACCGGAATCGCCTTTTGTTCCAGATCAAACAAAGGACCTAACTGTCTTTAGTTGCTGTTGGAAAATCACCTGTATTTTCTTTCTGCTATATCTGGAATCTATAGGAGGCCCTTAACTACTATTATTTTATTCATCAAATAATTTCATACAATTCATTACCTGTCTGAAATTGAACGAGTTTCTATTAATAAACTCTTTTCTCAGCAACTTAAGCTATTCATTTAATTACAAACTTGGCAGTAGCGCCAAAAATATCCTTCAGAATGTTACTAGTTAACGGAATTATATTCTATTCGTGTTAAACTTTAAACTAAATGTAACAAAGAAAACAACAGATATTTGAAGAGAACTTTGGAAATTTTTATAAATTGTATAATAATGCATCTTTACAATTTAAACTGCTTACCGACAAACAAAACAATATATTCACATAATCGGTATCAGTTTAATCATTTGATTAACGAGGAAGTTTATTTATATTAATATACTCGTACATCAAAAACAAATTACAAAGGCAAGTTGACTTACAAACTCAACGTTAATTTGTTTTGTAAGAGGGCGTACAATGGCTAATTAAAAATCGTTCTTTTATTTATTTCTTTGCTGATCAAAGGTGTATAACGGTGTTACATATTTATTATTCTTTTGAAGAGTAATACAGTTTTTCACCCCAAAAAACATGTACTATAAACATCATGACTGAAACCCGTAATGAAACTTCAATTTTTTATACCTAAAGTCTGTTCTTTGTTCTGCTTAGGCGTCTGAAATGCTGCCTTCTTGTATGTTTGTGGGTCATACTCAGAAAAAATGTACATTTGCCATTTGTTAATAAACTGATAAGTAACGAAATGGAGAATCAATGTGACGAAACTGATATGGTAAAGCAGGGTACATACTGAACATAAATAAAAACATAAACTAAATAAGAACATAATATCTCAGAAATCTAAATCAGGTTCATCCTACCCGACGGGAATAAGTGAATATTCCAACGATACGAATACATCATTAAGACTAAAGAACCCTAAGCCTTTTTAGTTGTTTAGTTTAGTTAGTGTGACGTAGTGCAGTGAGTGCTACTCTTGAAGAACAAGTACAAAGTGTATTTTCATTGGAGTAGGAACCATAAGAAAAGTACCAATGGACGCACTCTTTAAGTATATTATAATTTTTTAGCTAATAAATTTAAATTACTCATTACGCCTAAAGGCTTGATTGCAATTATTATGGAGGACCATCCAGCTACAAAATAATGAAAAAAACTCTATTGTATGAATCAGTATGTACGAGTATAACATGCAATTGTAGGTTTAGTAGTAGTTACAAATTAAATTAAATTACAGTTTTTCCGTTAAATTACAAATTATTGTTCAAAACATAAAAATAACTAAAAACAATCATACACATTTCTAAAAAAATAATTAAATAATCGGAGTAATATTGTCAAAATTTAATCGGGCCCTTCCATATTTCGAGCAACGAAAGAAAACAAGTTTTCAAGAACCGTTAAGACCAAATTGAAAAAAAAATAGCAAGATAGTAATAACAATATTTCTTAAAAATAATATAATCTTTCATAATGCAAATCAGTCTCAAATCTCCATAACAAACAAATTTGTAACAAAAAGATATCAACGTTACGTACTGCTCCATTATTTAAATATTTTGGAAACTGAAGAATCAATTTAATAAAATAATAATATTATTGATTATAATTAAATAAACATAGAATTAAAATTAAATAAAAAATACCCTAAATACTTGACTACTCTGCACAAGTACCCACATAAATAGTAAAATAATAAGTGAATCATTTTTTTTTAGTTCAACAGAAATATATTGTTACGTTCGGGAATCAAGCTCGTCATTTTCATTGTACCACGATTACACTTCTGTTCCCCTAAATTAATGTAATCAAATTTTAATAGATAATAATTAATTTTTCAAATTAGAGTAACTTCGTAAACTCAGCTTTACAATTTCTCAGTTTCGTAACATAATGCAATATAACTAAACTGAAGACAAACTCTGAGAAATTATAACCCCGAAAAATAATTCTGTTAGTAACACTTATTGTATACACAATAACTGAATTTATTTGTCTATATATTATTATAACTGAGACGTGGGCATAAAATAGTACAATCAATCGTATATGCTTATCGAAATTCAAATCGTTTATCACCCTGACAGTATTTTTTTCCAAATGCGAATTCAACACAATGACTCCCGTGTACGGATGAAAACAAAATGACCTCTGTATGTACGGTGAATTATAAAAAGCAGCAATGTTGTCAATATTAGGAAAATTATTTCCCGTCAGTTTTGAACAACTGCGTTCAGAATTATACGCACGTAACTAACACTCAGTAACGAAATGTAATAATTTTGGGACAACATTAATATGAATTTTAATAATTTTATTAAAAGTTCTAAACAATAAATCGTATTACTATTTAAATGATGGACTAAAAGAGACCTAAATGACTACAGTCAATCTTATGTAAGTCGATTAATAGTCGTAACAATTACTCTTTTATTATGAAAAATCGTTATTGAGACATTAAAAAATTGTATGGAAGATATTTTATAAAAAAATCCCAATGCTATTTATACTATGATTTGACGAAAATATTATATTATTTATAAAAAAAAGATCCTATTAAAGACTAAACATAGATGTAAACATGATTAAAAATATGTGCCATAATATTCAAATTTTAAATCTGCTATTAAAGTAGTGGGACAAAAAAAAGTGCCAAATGTACATTTTTTCTGAGTATGACCCTTGTACTATTTTGGATTAATTAATTGTACAATCGATCGCCAACCTAACCGTGATATTTAAATAGAATTTGTTACTTATAATTTAGAAATGAATAACAATTTTGGTCCTGTTTCAAAATGCTGCTGGTATGTACATATGTTTCATGAACTTACGCAGAGCGAGAACAATGCTTTTAAACTAATTGCCATCGATCGGTCTTTCTCGAGAAATTCATTCTCTCAATAATCCGGTTGGAGTATCTCAAATGTGTGACGTGCTCGTTACACAATCTAATTGCTAATCTTGATGTGGATGATATTTTTTGTATTAGACACTAACTAGATACTTAAACAAGATTCGGCTATAACGCCAAATAGCATCGGTTACTGTGATGAACTGATGGACCTTGAGTGACAGTCAGAAGGTTGTTTTTGCTTGAAACAACCTTGGAGTCCTATCAACGAAAATTTATTTGCCTATTTGTAACTTTGACTTAGCGATAGATCTTGCAGTATTTTCATTTAAAGAAAGACATATTCTGATTTCTTCAATCAGTGATGAATTTATACTTACAATAGACAGCCTTTTATCACGATTGGGGGTTGATCCCTACTTAATACTGTTAACCCGAAAATGAGTTTGATTGAACTTGAACTACATAACCGATCGTTATGTTTTTTTTAGTATACTTAATAGCCCGATAGCTGGTTAAAAATAAAAATAAATTTAAATACATTTTCTTAAGTGTTAATAATGGTACTCACTTTCCAGGTAGCAAGAATGACATATTCAGTGTTCGCTGTATTCTACCAGAGAGGCGAGTAGTACTTACGGGTAAAAAGGAATCAAAAGGATTTTCTATATTTCTTAAAAATTAATTAAATTGGTAGTGTGACGCACTTGTGGTTGTGAAATAAGATATTAATTAACGTGACAAACTTATCACACACACTCAGGAGGCATTCTCAGATCTTAGCAGACGAACTCAGATGAAATTTGGGAACCAATAAAAATATAACATTCTATACTAATAGAATAGATAAGAGAATATTGCTTTCTAATCTAGTCTATTGGCAATGGAAGATGGCTATGACTTGGACACGCAACCACACGAAAATACACAACACTAACTATTATTTGACACTGAAATCAGACATAATTTATTACATAGACATAGTTTGAACGAAATCTGTATACTTGCTATGGTTTCGTAAGTAGTACAATGACTTACATGAATATACCAATGTAATGACTTAACCTGCCGTCACATCGTCATCACATCACATCCACAGCCTTTAATTTTTAATGCCTGAATGACCTTAATGACTCAATGACTCAAACTAATAATAAAATAATAATAACTTATTATCGTTACAATGTTACAGTTTTACAAACATTAGTAACTTCACATAATAACAACTTCACATATCTCACACACGGCTGTCTGGTCCCAAACTAGGCAGAGTCTGTACTATGGTAACCAGACTGCTGATAAACATACCTATAAATTTTTAAAATACATATATATATTAAAGATAAATTACACCCAGACACAGGGTGGGAATCGAACCAACGACCTCCGGCATAGTAGTCAGGGCCACTAACCACGAGACCAACAGGCCCGTCGATTAGTGATAGGAATCTTTCTTTTAAGCATTAGATGCATGTATTAGGAGATATTACGAATAATGATAGTGTTTCATCAGTTGTCGCATCAGCACACGCATGTTTCAGTCATTCATTTTCAAGTGAATTAATTTTCTGCAAATTTATTATGGTCGAAATTTAAACGTAGTGGTATGACATATAATTGCTACATGTAGTTTCTATAAAAGATTTGTAAAAATAGTAACCTAAATCTATTAAACATATGTGTATCCAAAATGTTTTTTTTACCCACTAGTCACATGAATACTAGAATACCAGCAGTAAAGAAATAGAACCATAGTCTTGTTGATATGGTATGCCTTGATGCCAAATATTCTTGTTAACCCTTCCAAATAAGTTTTTCTTTTCGTTTTAAATTTCTCGTATGTAGTTCACTGGGTAGGGTTGTTATTGGCTATTGCTTTACCGCCGTTTTTACTAATGATTGACTGGTTTATTTTGTTGGGGATATACATAGGAACCGATAGCTGCAGTGCCAATTAAATAGTTACATCCTAAATCTATTACGTAGAACCGAAGACCGGTTTGGTTTTAATCGATACTTTTTAATCAATCAATCAATTTATTTTCATTGCGAACATAGGTTTACAATTAGGTGTTATATTTTAAAAGTGTTCGATGCCATCGAGGTTGTGCATAAATGCAGAATGCCCAAGACCAGGCTGGTTAGTGCTCATTCACCTGCATTTAGCAGTGGACGGTGATAGGCTGATGATAATGATGATTTACCAAAGAGTGACAAAACATCTAAATACATAAACTTTTTACTTTACCTTTTGTAAGACTGTTGTTCTTTTGGTTTACCGTTTAAGGAAAAATAAGCAAACAATACACTTACCAAGATTGGATAACCTTTGGGCATTACAGTCCTAAAGGTGCATAACGTGTGTAGCTGTGATAAAACGTAACTCTTTGCAGTGCAAAACAAGTTTGTCCCAAAATAGTAGAGCAAAGCAATTCGTGAACTCAATGTAGCTGTTAATGTAATTGAAACAAATAGACAAGGTCTAAACTGTCTATTTAGCACGTTAGAAAGGGTGTTACAGAAGCTGAAAATTAGTATTCCCTTGCGAAAGGGTCCACGTAATGCGCTCTAGAAACTTTCGATAAATCCGTAAAGGACCCTTACCTACCAAGTGTGTGAAGGTCGCAATATGCTTAATGTATTTAAATTAGTTTGAATTCTGTTTGATATCCTTGGAATTACAATGAACTCAAATGGTCCTTGGTTTGATACATATTGACAGTAATCAAATAAAAATCTTCTATTTTTGAAGTTTCTAAGCATATTATGTAACATGTGTACATATATTTAGAAACTATTAAAAACTGAACTGGTAATCACGGATCTAGTCCACGAGATGGAAAGCAATTGTTGTACGTTAGGTTCGTTCGCGTTTTGCAAACCGACCTTGTCATTGATTTGGTGACGACAATGTTGATATAATTAGTAACGATTACCTACTAATTATTATAAATTTATAACTGAATACAAAAAATTAAAGTTTATTTAATAATTCAAAAGAGTCGAGAGGTAACGTTTTACAATAATATAATCTTTAAATCGGTTCAAAATCATTTACAGTAACTTATATAACGGAGGGTGTCAGTGGGCGGTTCTAATTTCTTAGCTCTTCATCCATCGTTGATGTAAGTAGATGCAGAAAATAAGACTGAGTATGCACTTAACAGATATAATTGACAAGGAATCACACTTAAATATGCACACGTGGCTTAGATGTGATCAAATTATTTTAGGAACGCGGCGAAGTGGGATGGATTGGCTCCACATGTGTCTTTCGCTCTTGCTCGCTCAAAAGTGCTCTGCCAGCTCTCTCGAGGTCCTCACACCGCCCCGTAGGAGGACGTGTGGATGCTGTTTCAGGGCGGTAGCCCCCTGACTGCGGCTTCTACCGCTACCCCTAAATAGGGGTAGGTCATGGCGGTGGCTCTGACCGCCCAGAATAGGGCACGGCTCTAGCACCCTCAGGGGATATTGGCGGTTAGAGCCATACGCAGTTATCGCACCGTATCGACGGAGGCGGCGTGCGCATTGGCCAGTACTCCCCCGTGGGATTTGGAGCCGGAAGTGCTCGTCGAAGTATATCGGCGGACGGCTGAATGCCGGGCGGATAGTGGCAGTAGGCCCCCGCCCGAAGAGATACGCTAGTGGCGTGCAGCCGCTCGTCGAGCCACGATGGCTCGTTGGTCGTCCCGGCTGGGGGCACCACGTGCTGGCTTTGCCGCCGTGGAGGCGCTTCAGCCGTCATCGTAGAGTGCGCAGGGCGGCAGCACGGTACCCTTTCCTTCCGGCTGACGCAGGTCCTTTCCGGGTACGGCTGCTTTGGGAAGTACCTGCACTCGGTCGCTAGGAGGGAATTGAGGCCCGCCTGTCACCACTGCGATTGCAGTGAGGACTCGGCTCAGCACACGCTGGCAATTTGCTTGGCTTGCATCCTCATCGCAGTCATCGGGGGGGATCTCCCACTACCGGCCGTCATACGCTCCATGGCCGGTAGTGACAGATGTTTCACCGCAGTCGCATCCTTCTGCGAAGACGTCATCTCGCAGAAGGAGGCGGCGGAGAGGGCTCGGGAGGAAAACCTCCACTCGGACCGATTCCGTCGCCGTCGAACCGGGCGGCGGAGGCGCGCCTAGCACCACCTCATGCCGCCCTGAGTGTGGTCCGTGTGAGCCGTAGCGGGCAGGCGCTAGGAGGGGTCCGGATGTCTTAATAACAGCAGTTGGGACTAATCCCACCCACACGCCCACCACTTTAACTCCTGTACACCAGGATCCACAGCAGTGACCCACGAACACACCGAGTTATGACACTCGGGAAGTCCCAGGAAGAAATTAAACTGTCTTGGAACCCGCAACGAAATTAATCAGAAGAAAATTGGAGGAGTTGGAAATACAGTAAATCCACTTCCCTCCTTAGCAAAGCGGGAGACAAAATGAAGTAAAATGGGCATACACCCTTTTAAACAGGGAAGCACCACGGCCACAAATATTACGGGTCCTACGTGAGCTATGTTTGATTTCTATAATTTGTATGGCAGAATCGCCTAAACGCACGGAAATTCACCCTAGTTGACACAAGATCCCCATAGTATACCGCCCCAGATGTCACCTGCAAGCTATTCAGCATTATATTACGTTCATTATACCAAAGACTACATTCCCAGAGGATATGATGAGCAGACTGTTCATAGTGAGAGTTAGGTGTTGAGCATTGACACAATGGTGACTCGACCAATTTAAATGAATATATGATGATTTGGATGATTCATCCCAGCGTTGTTGCCATTCGTCTATGAGGTCATTATAGACATCGGGCTGCTGTTGAAGCAATCTTGTAATTTTACCGCAATCCCGCGCGCCCAAAAAATCGCATTCCATGTTTTGTTGTCTTGAATAGTACATGGCTGCACGTCTCTGCACCTCGAGATCGACCGGAAGCACACCCGCCAACACCGGCAAAGCCTCAGTGCTAACCGTCCTATATGCCTTACACAAGAATATCAGTGCAAGTCGTTGGCCTTGTAACAGTTTGCGACGGATAGCGCCTACGGTCGCCCTATCGGCCCATACAGGTGCACCATAGCACATAGAACCTAGATAAGTAGCTCCGTATATGATCTTTAATGTATTAAATGATAGACCCCATGTCGCAGTTGATATCCTTGTCAATGCACTGAAACTCTTTTTAGACTTTTCATTAACTATTTTAATATGTTCGATAAATGAAAAGTTTCTTTCTAAAACTAATCCTAGGTAATACACTGAGGTTTTATTTTTTACAGTAACATTGTCAAATCTAATGCTTGGCGGTGATTTGAGGTTACCTTTTAAAAGTAGCTGGAAGGTTTTGTTGGGTGCAAAAGTTAAGCGATTACGTTCACCCCATTGTGATATCAAGTTCAAACATCTATTGGCTGATCTCTCAAGTCCCGCCCTAGTATCAGATTCCACCAGTAATAAGCCGTCATTAGCATACGCGTTCAGAATACATCCGGATGGTATTGGTATCGCAAGAAAATCGTCGAAGCCGATATTTCACAAGTATGGACCTAGCACCGATCCCTGAGGACATCCCATTGTAAGCGCCTTCGACACAGAATGATGCACAACAGCAGTTCTCGGATCCCTCTTAT